GTGATTTACACAGGGGGAACAAATTGTGGCAGGATCAACCTGATATTATTTGTATCCCGCTATAACTTCGTTGTATAAAGAGCTAACATCTCAAAAATGTCAGGAGTAGTTAGTCATTATAAGAAGTGTTTGTGAACTAAAAATCAACAGTGTGGGATACTGTTCGTCCGTGATTTGGACAGTCCAGCGTGCGCTCCCGACGCAGGGGAAACAAATTCTGTCGGGGATACCTAGTTTGGCACGACAACTCGGTTGCTGTAACAGTAGCCTTCATTCAACGGCTGCAGCCTTCCTGCTGCCAGATGTACACATCAACACCAAAAACAACAACAGCACAAGCAGCGCACAGGTTTTAAGCCGGTGAGGCATGATTGTGAGTCCACCTCATCTGCAGCAGCATCGCAGACCACGGCCCGCCACAATAATAAAGCATTTTTTATTTGATTATAAATAAATTATTTCTCCTAATTATGTCCTGGGTTTTAAGTAATTAATAATACAAAAGGAAAAATCACAAAAAACACTTAAGGTCATGAAAATTAATTCCGATTTAGCAATTCAATGAGGCATCCACCTTATTTATTGAAAAGTATCGGTATTGGTATCGGCGATACTGGCCCGTATTTACTTGGTATCGGATCGATACCAAAATACGCAATGTCACACACCACTACTGGAAACGGCTGATACGTCAGCAGGTAGCAAATCTACAAATCAAACCCACAAAGTGCAAATCTACCAATCTACTAATTCTGTCAATACAATATGAGGCTGTCACCAAAGGTCTAAATGAAGCACTAATAGCGGCGGATGACTACTTTTATTACTTTAATAACATTTAGTTTATTATTACCGACTAATCTGGGTTTTCTTAATTTATATTAGCTCGACTTTCTGTATATTTGAAGGCAGCTGGAAAGAAAGATGATTTATAGCTTTAATATGTAACCCATGCGAAATACAGGGCTAATAAATCCCCTTTTGTCATCGAGGGCTATTGCCTATTATTGTCACATGGGGGTGCTTTGAGGCAGCTACATTGACCTTGCATCTCGTGCAAGGGAAGCATTGTCTGTCTCTACCTGTGAGATCCTCCCTCTAATGGCCGTCAAGTGTGTGTCGGTGTAGTGTTTTCAACGAGGATGTTGGTGACACCGAGTTAAACCACAAATGAAGACCCTGGAGTTTAGTTGCAGCTTGTTTAATTGTCTCCATGAACATGTGGTGAAAACTGAAATGACAGAAAATAAACTCCATCTCAACAGGCAGAAGCATGTTTACATCAATAAAGTGCATCACTCTCACTAAAACATTCATGTTAACAAAATATACATTAATATCCAAAGCTATCTGTATCTTCTTCTTCCTCCTAGCGTTTTTCCCGCTCGGTTGCAGGGTCCGCTTTTCTGCAAAGT